TTCACACTGCCACTTGCCTGCTTCTTTACTTAAACCATACAAGGCTACAATCCTCAAAAAAGAGCTGAATAAGAGGAAGTAACAATTAGTTTTGAAGAGGGACACATGTTTTGAGATGCACTTTGGGAGTGGGCTATCTTCTCCCATCAGGGCTTCTTGGTGCTCTCTGAGGTTGCTTGTTTCCTTGCAGACATTTCATTACCCAACTAGCAGAGGTGGGTTCCTACCGGTTCGCACCGGTTCAGTAGAACCGGTTCGTCAAATCTACCAAACCGGTTAGAAGAGGTTCCACCAGTGGACCCGGAAAGCAGGCCACACCTACAGAAGAGGTTCCAAAAATGTTTGAAATCCACCACTGCCAGCTAGGTACCATCATCAGTGTAGTAAGGAGCAGGATTTGCTCTCAGTTTATATTCTAGTGGCTTGTCAGTGTTTCTAATGGTTGTCTTGATGGCTTTGGGGTGGGGGGCGTTGGGCTCTTTACTGTTAGCTTGCTTGGCAGTTCCTTGATTGGGATATTGTTTATTTGATTGTTGTTAATCTTGGAGTTACTGTGTCTTTCAGACTATAAGATACACTGGTGTATAAGATGCACCAAAATTTTGAAGAGTAAGAAGAAAAGAAAAAAAGTTTTTCTCTTCCCCGGCCCCCAGGAGCACTCCGCAGACTTCAGCAGGGCTAGGGGAAGCCAAAAACACCCCCATTTTTCACCAAAACAGGGGCATTTTTCCCTCCCACCAGCCCTGCTGAAGCCTGCAGAGTAGCAATAGCAATAGCAATAGCAGTTAGACTTATATACTGCTTCATAGGGCTTTCAGCCCTCTCTAAGTGGTTTACAGAGTCAGCATATTTCCCCCAACAACAATCTGGGTCCTCATTTTACCCACCTCGGAAGGATGGAAGGCTGAGTCAACCCTGAGCTGGTGAGATTTGAACAGCCGAATTGCAGAACTGCAGTCAGCTGAAGTAGCCTGCAGTGCTGCATTTAACCACTGTGCCACCTCGGCTCTTCTAGAGTGCTTCTGGGAGGTGGGGGAAGGCAAAAACACCCCCGTTTTGGTGAAAAATGGCCCATTTTTGCCCATTGTTCACCAAAATGGGGACATTTTTTTCCTTCCCGAAGCCCTGCTGAAGCCTACAGAGTGCTTCCAGGGGGTGGGAGAAAGCCAAAACACCCCCATTTTGATTAAAAAACAGCCCATGTTTGCCCATTTTTCACAAAAATGGGTTGCAGGGCAGGGCTTCAGGAGGCCAAAAACGGCTGTATTCAGTGTGTAAGATGCACCAACATTTCCACGCTCTTTTAGAGGGGGGAAGGTGCGTCTTACATGCTGAAAAATACGGTAATCATTTGGAGGCTGACTGCTGTTGGAGTGGTGCTTCGGTCTATTTGCTTCCCTTTTCCTATTCTTAAGAAAACATCTTTCGTTATTGGTCCTCTACGACTTGATCTGTGATGTGTCTAAGCCAAAGTGAACTTCTGTTCTGTCCCAAAGATTTTATCTCCTTGCTATTATGCGTTTCCCTTCCCTTTAATGGACATTGCGTCACCAAAGTTTTTCCCTTTCTGGAAATTGACTGCTAAATTGCATTCAAAGCAGGGGTGGGCTCCCGCCGGGCATGACTACTGCTTCGGTGTCCGAAACATTTTGCACGCATGCGCATTTGCACTTAAAAAGTGCAAACCATTAAAAAACGGGGGGGGGGGGCGAAATACATTATTTCAATGAAAATTGTTCTGCGCATGTGTAGAACAGAAAATAAAGATGGCGGCGCCCAGGACAGAACTGGTATGATCACATGTTTGCCCAAGTTACTACCTATTCGGCCGAACCGGACCGTACTGGTAGAAACCCACCTCTGATGCAGGGATGGGCTGCTGGGGAGTTGGCAGGGGTTGGGGAGAACCTCTAGCTAAGATTCTGTGCAGTTCAGTGAACCTTCAAATCCCACCCTGCCCCATCCCTCCCAGCAGTCCACACACGGTTTATTTTGGATGCAGGTAAGTGCAGGGGGCACGCATGGAGGCTCTCTCTCTCTCTCTCTCCATAAACTCGCATGAAGAGTATGGAGCAGTGATCACCGAACTTGGCAACTTTAAAATTTTGGGACAGACTGCCAGAATTTTTCAGCCAATGGAGAATTCTGGGAGTTGAAGTCCACCCATCTTAAAGTTGCCAAGTGTGAAAAAAACAATGGGTTAGAGTAATTTCTAGAAGCTCCCAGGTCCATCTTCATCATCTTATCTTTATCTTCCCCTACAGGAGCTTCCAGCGCCCCCGTTGTCTTCCCATTGAGTCCTAGTGATGACCAAAACGAGGGGGACGGGCAGAGGCTCACTGACTCCAACGTTAGCATCGGTTGCCTCGTCAAAGGATACTTTCCTGAACCAGCCACAGTACAATGGAATTCAGGCGCCATCACCAGCGGAATCCACAACTTCCCTCCAGTTCATTCATCTGGCCACTATACTCACGCCAGCCTGCTCACCATCCCCATCACCCAGTGGGAATCTGAGTCATTCCATTGCAACGTTGAGCATGCAGCCACCCACACCACAATTAGCAAAAAAATTGAGCGTGAGTCCAGCTCTTATCTTTTTTTTTTTCTTTCATTTCTAAGAGCAGTTGGTTACACAAAGGCAAAACCAATGCTAGGTATAACAATGAGGGGGTGGGGCAGTGGTGAAATTCAATTGTTTTTTACTATTGGTTCTGTGGGCGTGGCTTGGTGGGCGTGGCAGGGGAAGGATACGGCAAAATCTCCATTCCCTCCCCACCTCAGGGAAAGGATGTTCCAAAATTTCCATTCCTACCCCACCTCAGGGGAAGGATACTGCAAAATCCCCATTCTCTCCCCACTCCTGAGGGAAGGATACTGCAAAATCCACATCCCCCCCCCCTCCTGAGGGAAGGATATTGCAAAATCCCTATTCCCACCCCACCTCAGCAGACGGATACTGCAAAATCTCCATTCCCATCCCGCTCCTGAGGGAAGGATATTGCAAAATCCCCATTCCCACCCCACCTCAGCAGAAGGATACTGCAAAATCTCCATTCCCACCCCGCTCCTGAGGGAAGGATATTGCAAAATCCCCATTCCCGCCTCAGCAGAAGGATACTGCAAAATCTCCATTTCCACCCTACCTCAGGGAAAGGAGATTCCAAAATTTCCATTCCCACCCCACTCCAGGGGAAGGATGCTGCAAAATCTCCATTCTCTCCCCACTCCAGGGGAAGGATCCTGTAAAATCTCTATTTCCTTTCCACTCCAGGGAAAGGATACTGTTAAATCTCCATTCCCGCCTGACTTCAGGGGAAGAATACTGTAAAATCTCCATTCCCTCTCCACTCCAGGGGAAGGATACTGTAAAATCTCCATTCCCTCTCCACTCCAAGAGAAGGATGCTGCAAAATCCCCATTCCCTCCCCACTCCTGGGGGAAGGTTATTCCAAAATTTCCATTCCTGACGGAAGGATACTGCAAAATCTCCATTCTCTCCCCATTCCTGAGGAAAGAATGCTGCAAAATCTCCATTCTCTTCCCATTCCTGAGGAAAGAATACTGCAAAATCTCTATTCCCACCCCACTCTGGGGTCAGCCAGAGGTGGTATTTGCCAGTTCTCCAAACTACTCAAAATTTCCGCTACCGGTTCTCCGGAACCTGTCAAAACCTGCTGAATTTCACCCCTGGGGTAGGGGAAAGATACAGCATTCAGGATAATGTTAGATTTCTACTTGGGACCAAAAGTCCTACAGTAGGGGGGGGAAATAGTATAAAATGGGGTATTTCCAGTGTGATTTGCAAGAACCAGGTGATTGGTGTGAAGAGAAAAGATTTGGAACTTTCCCTATCTGGAGAAGGGAGAATCCAGTTAAGCCATTTGAAATTTTAATGATGAAGGGACAGGTTTCTGCAAGTCTATTAAAATGCATGGAACTCTGGGATGTTTTCCAAAATCCAGGACGTATTTCGGTGCAATGCATTTCTAAAAGTTAGATGTCTTTATTATCCTTAACTATTATCCTTAACTAACTCTGGAACAACTCAAGCAATGTCAGCCAAACTTGGTACACAGATGACTTACTCTCTGGAAACAAATACTGTGGGGGTAAGACAGCCCTAACACCCCTGGGGGGGGGGGGTGTTCTGTTAAGATACAGACTGTTGTGCCTTGAAATGGCTTCTACTGTACTGCTGTAAAATAGCTTCTACTGTACTGCTGTAAAATGGCTTCTACTGTACAGCACTGTACTGTACAGCACACTGGAGTTACCATGGTAACGGCTTCACAGTACTTCACAGTACTCCCCAAGGGAGCTCCCTATGGTACGGGGGAGGAAATCCAACATTAGAGATTATGTTTGGTCCGGACATTTCCCCCCTATAAATAAATGCCCAGGCAATACTGGGTTAACAGATTAACAGAGTTGGACGGGACCTTGCAAGTCATCTAGTCCAACCCCCTTCCCAAGCAGGAGATCCTACATCGAGATCTTCAGTATTTCTAAGAAGGTCATCTAAATTGGAAGAGACTTCAGTGGATAACACTGAAGGTAGGTCATCCTTAAACATTAAAAGTCACTCTTCTGCTCACAGGATGTGAATCCCATGAACCAGTGGCTCCTGCAGTCCATCTGCTCCATTCTCCTTGCAGCCCAAAAGGAAAGGATGGAACCATAGCGCTGGTGTGCTTCATTGAGAATTTCTACCCCAAAGAAATTGAGGTTGAATGGCTGGTGGGCAGCCACAGTGGATTGCTGACTTCTTACACCGAACCTCCGAAGCGTGATGCGAAAAAGTACACTTACAGTACCCACAGCTTCGTGAACGTCACTGAAGGAGATTGGTTGGAAGGAAATACTTACTACTGCCAGGTAACCCACGCAGCATCACAAACAAGGACAAAAAGCAGAGCCAGGAAATGTGAAGGTAATCATTTATATATATAAATGGCTGTGTGTGTGTGTGTGTGTCTGTGTGTGTGTGTGTGTGTGTGTTCCAGCATAACTCTGGAACGCCTTGAGCAATTTCAACCAAACTTGGTACACAGATGATTTACTCTCTGGAGACAAACACTGTGGAGGTAAGACGCCCCTAACACTCCTTGGGGTGTGTGTTCTGTTACAATACAGCCTGTTGTGCCTTTAAATGGCTTCTACTGTACTGCCGTAAAATGGCTGCTATAGTACAGCGCAATTGAGTTGCCATGGTGATGGCTTCACAGTACTCTACAAGGGAGCTCCCTCTGGTAAGAGGGGGAAAACCTACATTAGAAATTATGTTCGGTCCAGACATTTTGGTCCAGGCAATACCCGGGCAATGCTGGGTTAACGACTAGGATTTAGATATTCGAAAAAATCTCCACTGCAATTTTTAGGTATAGATAAAGATTTGTGTGATCAAAAGAGGGCAAATTCATAATTACAATAGACCAACAGATAGAATACTACCCAGGAATAGGAGCGGACAATTTAGCAATGAAGTAGAACAAACTCAACCAGATCACGGGGCAACATCTTATGAGACTTATTACTAGAGGGTGGAGATTCGTTCTCCGAGTTTGTGGCTTGGTTTCTGAATGTTCCATTACCAGGCTAGGTAATATCTTCAGTGGAGTTTAGGGGATGTCAATGTTCTTCTGTTGATCAGGTGTGGGTGTGTCAAGTGAGGGTCTTGTGATGGGTCAGCTGTGAGTCATCAGTGATGGGTCTTGCGATAAGGAGATTACATCAAGTCAGAGTCATTGGGAGGTAAATTGCTGGGTTGGTTGAGGGTCACACGTTTGGAAATCAACCTACAAGCTTGAAGAATGAACCTTCACCCTCATCCTACATCTCAGCTACAGATATTCACCACATATTATTAGTCCCAGTAGCAACCCTTCCTTTTGGCTTGTCCGTGTTCCAGTTACTTGGTTATTGACATTGAAGTATAATTTTCTTTTCACTAATAACTTGCTTTCTTCTTTCATAAGATGATTCTGAGGGATCTTTGCTTTAGGTTTAGAGTAACAACTACCNTAGGGAAAATCAGAATTGGTAGCCTCAGCTGAGAGCTAGGACGGACTAACTCAGCAACTGCTCCAAGCTTCCGCTACCTCTACTGGTAGTTCTTGATCTGAAAGTTGAATTTTGGGGGTTAGGTGCCTTGAAGTAGCTCATCTGAAAGGTTCTGCTAGGGAAAATCAAAGGAGGGAATTGGTAGCCTCAGCTGAGAGCTCAGGTGGACTAACTCATCAATTGCTCCAAACTGTCACTACCTCAATTAGTAGTTCTTGATCTCAAATTTGAATTCTATGATATGAATACCTTGAAGTAGCTCATCTGTGAGATCCGTTTCTTTTTGGTTGAGCGCCAGAAGAAAGGAAACCTCTTCCATATTGGATCCATCACTGTGCCATCTGCCATCCTAGCTGAATTCAAAATTTAGGTCAAGCTAGTGGATAGTAACAGGCTACATGGGTTTCTACACCCAGCCAGGAGCCCAGCTATGGGCTTTCTGATGAATGCTAGAATTTAGAGAAAGTAGCAAGGAGTAAGAATATTATCTGGTTGCCAAGCCTACCATTTCAGCTAGGAGAGGATAGGTTTGAAGGTTCAGGAATTGGAATAAATGGAGTTTTTTTGGAGTCAGTTCTCCACTTCTGAGTTGAGTAGGTAGGCTCCTACAAAGTGTATGATGGTGTGATAAGTAAGCTGCTAGCTGACTCCAGAATTCAGATCAGTTAGTAGGCAGAGGAGAGCTAACTGGGTACTTGATTGGTGCCCTGGGCACATTTCTAAGATTCTTCTATGGGCATCTTAGATTCAGATAAGTTAGCAAAGAGCAAAGAAACAACTTAAATTAATGTTCAATGCCCCACTCACATCTGGAAGGTTCTAAAGAAAATCCTTAATAAACCCAACTTTAGGACTCATTCATGATGAGAAGAGCTTCCAGCAGAAAGCAGAGGTGGGTTTCTACCAGTTCATACCGGTTCGGGCAAACCGGTACTGATAATTTGGTCTGGGTCGCAGAACCAGCAGCAACCCAGGCTGGCCACGCCCTACCCAACCAGTTCCCCGTTCTCTGTTGCCAGTGCTGTCATGTTTTTTATTAGCTTTTCATGGTTTTCGTGCATGTGCAGAATAATTTACAGTGAACTGCACATGCGCGAGCAACGTGCGTGCAAAGCACGCACGAAGCGAACCAGTACCAGTGCCAGTAGGAACCCACCCTTGGCAGCAAAGTTTCCCAGAGATGGTTGGGCTCAGATGAGCTGGAGGAATTTATGGACTGCTGGTAAACGTTTGTGTCCTCTTAGATTAGTGCTAGGCTACTGGCCTACAGAAAGAGGCGCCTCTTATCTTGGCCAGTGGGAGAGGGAAGGAAGGAGAAAGCATGAGCCCAGTCAGATTTCAGATGGGAAATGGATGGACTGAGATTAGTTTGCAAGGATGCTGATGATTGGCTGGGAAAGTTTTGGACACTATCTGATGAATGTAAGCTCCAGACTACCCATGTTGCCCCGAAAATAAGACAGGGACTTTTTTTTTTTTACTCTTGAGATAAGCACTTGGCCTTATTTTTGGGGAGATCTTATTATGTTTGAGATTCAGGAGGAGGTGAGTGTGGTCACCTCATGGCTGCTGCTGTGTTGAATATAGAAAATCACTAGAATTTAGCCTGCCGTCCCCAATCATAGCTAGAAGAATTGTTCTCTTTCTTGTTGTTGTTGTTGTTAGTCATGAAGTCATGTCCAACCCATTGCGACTCCACGGGCAACGTTCCTCCAGACCTTCCTGTCCTCTACCATCATCTGGAGTCCATTGAAGTCACACTGACTGCTTCGGTGACTACATCCAGTCACCTCATTCTCTGCCATCCCCTTCTTCTTTTGCCCTCCATCATTCCCAGCTGTGGGCTCTTCTCCAGGGAGTCCTTCCTTTTCATTAGGTGGCCAAAGAACTTGAGTTTCATCGTCAGGATCTGACCTTCTAAAGAGCAGCCAGGATTGATCTCCTCTAGGACTGACTGGTTGGATTGCCTTGCAGTCCAAGGGACTCACAGGAGTCTTCTCCAGCACCGTAGTTCAAAGGCCTCCATTCTTTGGCNTCTCTCCTTTCTCCATCCCTCCTTCCCTCTGTCTTCCCTCTTCTCCCCCAATGGAATTAGAAAGTCTGCAGTCTTAGCAAACCCTTAGGTGAATATGTGTTATTATCCCTTCCTATTACTGTTTTTCTTTTGGTTCCTCAGCCCATTCATCCCTTACTTTCTTCCCAAACTCTCTAAACATTTCATCATATTTTGTGCTTTTAGTTATTGTCCTATACAGGTAAACAATGATATAATGTTTTCTTGGTCTTTATAGCATATTGAAGAAAGTGAAACAAAACCAAAAATCTTGTGTTTCGTAAAAATACCTTGTTGACCCAACACCAACAATGATGTCATTCTAACAATAGGAGACTGGAATGCCAAAGTTTGAGGTAAAATAGTATCCAGAACAGAGGTGGGTTGCTGCCGGTGTGGCCCGGTTCAGCCGAACCGGTAGTGAAATTGAGACCTGGGTCACAGAACTAGCAGAGACCACACCTGACACGCCCCCGAACCGTTCACTTGTCACCGCTGATGTTACTGCCATATTGGATTTTAGTCACTGCATGTGCGCAGTTCACTGTAAATTGTGCGCGAACCAATAGTAAAACCGGCAGCAACCCACCCCTGATCCAGAATAATACAAAAGTTTGGCCTCAATGTATGATATAAGCAGAAGTCAGTCTAATATAGCTATGTCAATATTTTATTTTATAGAAGTACAGTGGCTCATCTGGTTAAAATGCTGTGTTGACAATTTCCAAGCCCACGTTTTGAAACTTGAATGCTTCTATGCAATTTTTTTTTACTACCGGTCCTGTGGGTGTGGTTTGGTGGGTGTGGCTTGGCTTGGTGGACATGGTTTGATGGGTGTGGCAGGGGAAGGATACTGTAAAATTGCCATTCCCTCCCTATCAGCTGGGACTTGGAAGCCAGAGAATAGATGGGGGCAGGGCCAATCAGAGGTGATATTTACCAGTTCTCTGAACTACTCAAAATTTCCACTACCAGTTCTCCAGAATTGGTCAGAACCTGCTGAATCCCACCTCTGCTTCTATATGATAGGGTGAGCTCCTGTAATTAGCTCCAGCACTTACCGACCTAGCAGTTTGAAAGCATGCAAATGTGAATAGATAAATAGGTACCACTTTGGTGGGCTCATTAATGGGGACATGAAAGGAGCCACCAACTGGCATTTCCAGGGCAGTCGGGTGGTGTCACTGATTAATCCTTTTACTACGGAAGTGCTTTGGTGCTTCCAACATGGAAGTATAGTATAATGCCTTATTTTACAGCCTAGAAGACAATTATACACATGGACAATACATGCTAGATAACACTGAAATCAAATTGATATATTCTGCCAATGGAGTTTTTAAAATCTTTGTTTAACTTACATGGACACTATATAAGAAATGGTGACGTAGAAAAAAATAGCAATTGCATTAAAATTGCTGGGAGAAAAATCAACAATTTCAGGTATCCTAATAATACCACTTTGATGGTTAGAAGATAGAAAAAAATATTAAGGAATCTCTTGTTCAAAATAAAAGAAGAAAACGCAAATGGTTGTTTTCACTCAGTGCTGAAAATGATCTAAGATTATGTCAATGGGCTATGCCAGGTCAATGCAACAGACAGAGAACAGATTATTGAAGGTAAAATCTAGTTATAGATTTTACCTTCAATAATCAAGTAATTCCCTGAGATGGTGCCTGAAGCCATGAAGTAAAGTGATGTTTGTTGCTTGGGAGAAATACTCTGACAGATCTAGACAAAATATTAAAGTGCAAAGACAACAAAGGCTTGTATTGACATGACATGGTTTGTAACACATGGCTGTGAAAGCTAAGCCATCAGAAAGACTGAACAAAGAAAAATGGATTGCTTTGTACTGTGG